AATGTTTTTGCCCCATCAGGCATTGGGAGCTCAACCCAGAATTCCAGTGGGCAGCGGAGACTGCGGGAACTGTGGGATAGCTACCCACAGTGCAACACTCTAAACTCGACGCTAGCCTCGGTACTTTGTACTTTGGATGCACTCTGCCGACTAAATGCACTTAGTGGGGATACACACAATCGACTGTATAAAATCGACTTCTATAAAATCAACCTAATTTCGTAGTGTAGTCATACCCTTAGTAGAAAACATAAGGCGGGACAGTTTGGTTTGTGTTAGGTGATCAGGCAGCTCATGAAAGCTCAGGTGACCTTGGGAGAACAGGGATACACATTGTATTCTTTATTAATCCATTTACAAATTAACAATAATTTTTTCCTTCCTTTTGGAAGCTTGTAGAATCCCATAGTCAAAGGCAGTGTTCCCTCTAATTTTTTACGTCCATGTGCAGAATGAATTTTGTTATGTGCACTAATATGGAGGTGATGTGTGGCAGGGGTGGGGCCAAGAGGTTCAGGGTGTGGGAGAGAAATCAGGGCTGGGGCAGAGGGGTTGGAGTGCGAGGGGGGTGAGGACTCTTGGTGGGGCCGGGGATGAGGGGCTTGGAGTGCAGGCTGCCCCAGGCCTGTGGCGGGGAGAGAGGACTCTCCCCAGCCCTCTCTTGCTGCAGCAGCTCGGGGCCAGGGGAGAGGTGCTTAGAAGAGCACAGCAGGGCTGGGCTGGGCCGGGCCGGGAGAACGGTGCCTCTCCTTGGCTGTGGCAGCTCCGGCAGGACTGGGCTGGGCCGGGGAGAGGGACACGTCTCTCCAGACATGGCTGCTCTGGCTGGGCTGGGGAAGGGGCACCTCTCCCTGGCTGTGGCAGCTCCAGTGGGGCTGGGCCAGGGGAGGGGCACTTCTCCCTGCCTGCATAGCCCTTGATAGCCTGCCACACGGCCACAGAGCTTAGGGGGAACTTAGGTCAAAGGCTCCACTTTTTCTCTTATGTGCAAAACTATTTAATTTTAAATTTTTCATAAGTGCCTCAGAACGTGTGGCTAAGTGCTATTCTCCAATCTCTATGTTCCTGTGTCTAATACAAGGGTCGGTGAAGATAAGGCTGCGTTGGGCAAGGCGTATGATCACCTCTTACTCACATTAATTTGTGAGATGAAGATAAATGGCCCCTGCCTAGCTCCACATTCTTCTAGCACGGGGGTGGCCAACCTGAGCCTGAGAAGGAGCCAGAATTTACCAATGTACGTTGCCAAAGAGCCACAGTAATACGTCAGCAGCCCCACATCCACTCCCTGGCCCCCAGTGCCTCTCCCCTGCCGGCATCCCCCAACAATCAGCACCTACTCCCCCCTCCCACCGCAATCAGCTGTTTCATATGTGCAGGAGGCTATGGGGGGAGTGGGGAGGAGTGAGGGCATGGCAGGCTCAGGGGCAGGGGCCTTGGGGGAAGGGGTGGAGTGGGGGCAGGGCTTGGGGCAGAGCAGTGAGCACTCCCTAGCACATTGGAAAGTTAGCATCTATAGCTCCAGCCCCAGAATCAGTGGCTGTGTAAGGAGCCGCATATTAACCTCTGAAGAGTCGCATGTGGCTCCGGAGCCACGGGTTGGCCACCCCTGTTCTAGCATGTGTAATGAAATAGCATGAATCTACCTCTTTCTTCCTCACTCTGCTTACGGGGGCTTAACTGAAGTTTCTCTCTTGCCAAACTGCAGCTTTTCTCCCAGCATCTGGCCAGGTGCCTACTTGTAACAGAGGATGCCTTTTAGTCTGCCAGTGGGAGTTAACCCATTTGAGGTTGGGCTAGGAACACGGAGATGATTTGTGGTTTGAGGCCTCTGCTACAGCTGGCCAAGTATGCAATAAAACAGCAAGCTAGTCTCTGAACCCAAGTTTACTCAGTTTTCTGGTCTTCCGCAGAGGTACACTAACTATGAGATGGTGGGGGCTAGTAACTTCCATTTGAAATACATTCCTAGGCCCTATGATAGTATAGTCTCACCATCAGACAGGTAAACAGCCAATTACCTCCTTTAGCAACAAAACAGTACTAGTGTTGTGCAGTAGTGGTGTAATATACTGCAACTTACACATGTGTCAGGAGAATGTTTGGGGCTGTTGATATTCTGTGGGACTTTCAACAGGAGCCAACTCAAAGAGGACTAAAACAAGATCATTTTACACATAAACAGAGCATCTTTCTTTCTGAAGGATTTCAAAGTGCTTTAGAGATAGCCAGCCAGGAGGCATAAGAACAGTCAATGCACCTTTGGACCCCTGGACATTCCAGGCAAAACTGTTGACATTTCTCTCTCTCTCTGCCCTGTGCTCATTGGGTGTTTGCTCCAACCCTACCTCTCCATCTCCCTTCTCCTCCCCTCCAGTCTCTTTAGCACAAATTCACTCCACACCTGCCCCCTCCCCTGTCGCCCTCCCTTTCAGCTGATCCCCTCCTAAGTAAACCCACCCACTCCTTCAAAATAGAAAATAAACTTATGGAATGAACGTGGCATTTGCCACTACCCTATGTTCACTTTGTGTTCTACCCCTTCCAGCACCCTGTATCTGTCTTGTTTATTTAGTCTCTTTGTACTCTACCTTCTGTCTGTAGCCATCTGTTGCTGTTTCTTGTTTTATAATTAGATTGTAAGCTCTCTGGAGCAGGGACTATCTTTTTGTTCTGTGTTTGTACAGCACCTAGCACAACATGGCCCTGGTCCACAACTAGGGCTCCTAGGCACTACAGTGACAAAAATAATAATAAAAAATGCAGTCACCTCAGGGGTGAGGGAAAGGCAACACAAAACATGGTGCATAACAGAAAAGGTTGGGGATATTAGGATGTCATGGATCCACAGAATCTATGCTATGCCCCTGCTTTTAAACAGACCTTCGGAGGAAAAGTGTGCCAGATTCCACTTGTTCTTAAGGGTAGGTCATGGGGTTGCAACACCTCTGAAACTGAGCCTCTCGGTGCCAGCACTCCTGCTTCACACCCATGAACTCTGCCCACCAAGTCCAACTGAGATAGTCTCTGACCAGGAGTCTTTACACTCTTCAGGGAACAACACATCTCAGCAAGTATTGGCAGTGACACCAGGTAGCCTTTTTAAAACAGAGTAGTCAACTGGCATTATTAGTCAACTGGCATTTATTAGCATAGCGTAATAAAGGTTAAGACATAGTCAATTCTGGACAAGCCAGTATTCCATCCGGCCAAGCTACCATGGAATCCATTTTTGGCCCTCTCCCTCTTTGTCAGTCCCACCTGAGAACTGCTGTCTCTCTCCCAAAAGCCAACTCTAATCCCAGCCACCTGACACATTTCAGTCCATTGTCCAACATCTGCAGACCCATGCTGAGTTCACATATTCCATC